TATACTGCATTAACGTTGAAGAACTTCCGTTGTTAGTACCATCAGCTTCGTGTGGCACTGTCGAAGTCATGAATCAAATTCAGTTACCGAACAAGTAAAGGAAGTCTAATGTCTGATATATATATATATATATAATAACATGCACGAGATGACGCTTTTGAGTAATCAGCGCTATGCCGAGACTCGTCATTCTTGTCCAGGTCACTTGCACCTTTGCATTTAATTGCGTTTTAATCATAACCTTAAAATGCAAGCCTTCACCCTTGTTGGTAGACTGGTGGCAGCTGATAAAACCCGTTTGCTCTACTGACGTCTAACCCCTCTCCATTGGAAATGGAGAGGTCCCGGGTTTGATACCCGGACCATGCGGAATTTTTCAGTCGCGTACCAGACACATAGCTGTGTTTGGAGATTTGTGTTTGTCCTTTGTCCTTCTCGTACCCCTCTCCCGGGATTATTTTCGTCATTCTTGTCCAGCTCGCTTGCACCTTTGCATTTAATTGTATTATAATCAGCGCTATGCTTTTGAACTTGCGCGTCTGCACATTAGACAGTCGTTCGAGCCTCCATATTATTTTGTGGAGGATGTACCATTACTCACATTCGATACGCGAGCCCTTTAAAATTAAGAGGCCTATACGTTTTGTTAGAACCCATACTCACCTCCAGCATGTTCTCAATGAAAGTTGGCTACGGTGTACTAGAATACGGGGTAGTTTTGGGAGCAGAGCGGCTCGGGCGTGAGACGTCTGATGCAGACCGCGATAGATGTCGACACTGGCGCATCGGCAGTATAGACGCTTTGCAGCAGCTGTGCGTGGGCGGCGCCATAACCGACCTTTAGTTTATGTTTCCTCTTATTCTGTTTACATCACTTCATCATTACCGCAGAAGGACAGGGTATTGTCATTTTCGATGCTACCATGTCCTTCTCCTCAGCCATAGGCTTATGTGGAAGCTCTTCAACGCCCTCTTTGGTGGCTCAGTATCTCGGTAAGGCAAGAGAAGGTTAGCGATGGCGGCTGTAATCTTGCGTGTGTCAGAGCCATATATGTAGAGAGTTTGGCCATTCGTTGGGAAGTATAGGAGACAAATGAAGCGGCGCCATTGGCCGAAAGCGGGCTGGGCGTGTTCCAGGGCGTCTTCAGAAATTCGAATGTGACCAACCAGAAGCCCGAAATAATACCCTGGCGGTGGTCGCGAGAAACAAACCTGATAACTGCATTGGAGTAACTCTTGATGGCTGAAATTATGGTACACGTGATGTTTCAATCACACTCATCTAAAATGATGGTGGAAGAGTGCGACTAGCGGAAAGATCGACATAATCCTTACGCCAAACGCCGAGCGCCTGAATCTGCCCGTCAGAGCGGTCACACTCTTTCCGCGCAAAACAGAGTTGAGCGGCGCATTCGTTTCTTACATCTTTCTGCATGATCATGATAAAACAACACGTGAGCCCTATTTTCAACCACAAAGAGTTACTACACTTCACTCTTACGCGTTTATTTAAACCATATACGAACATAGACCTTCGATGATCGATCGGCTCAGAACTGTTTCTCGCTACCACCGCTAGGGGATTCTTTTCGGCTTCTGGTTGGTCAAGACAGCATGCCAAGCCCTCTTTCCGAGTCTGCGCACGCCCTGGCTCTGCCCGCGCCTCCCATTGACCAAACTCTCTACATATACGGCTCTGGCGTGTGTGTAAAGTGTCTATAGGGTCAGTATAGTTGTGGTTGTGTGCGTGCACGCGCACGTGCACGCGGCGGCACGTGCGGATTACAGCGACTTTCTGCTGCTTTCGCGCAGTGCAGATAAAGTTCGCTTTTCACTCTCTCTCTTTCTCTCTCTCATTATGGTTTCAAACGGCGCCGGCAGATGACTCGTCGACCCGTGGGCACGTGGGCACGTGGGCACTGCAAAGACGGCTCGTGCCACCTCATGCTCCACACGCGCAGAGCTCCAGCGAGGTTGTCGCTCGTGCAGAAAGACCACGGTGTACCGGGGTGTCATGGCAACGAGATAATTTTTTTTCGCTCTCACACAGTTTCGCCGTTTGGCTGCCGGTGACACTGTCAGCCGCGGGCACGGTGGCCGCGGAATAATGCAGCCTTTCGGGTGCCCGTCGAACGAACACTATCTGAATCCTCGCGCCACGCGTTCAGCCCCGCCGTGTCATCACCTAAAGAGTGTATCTGACGCCGTGCTGGCGGCCATAGCTGTGTCATAGCCTCCTTTATACTGACCAAACCTGGCAGATTCGCCACGAGACGCGGCCGCTGAAAGGGAAAAGGTAGAGCGGCAGACAGGAGGCATGTAACGGGCGCCCCGCTGCGGCGAAACGCCGAAACACACTTGTTCCGAGCGATGGAATGTCCACTCGTGCTTCTCGTGCTCCTCGGGCTACCGCTTCTTTTCTCGTCGGGTTTGAAAACCATGTTTCGGGTCCTCGCCGCCGCAAAAGCTGTGCGCTGACTACAGGCTACCCGAGAAATGCTCTGTGGTACCAGACCCTCGCGCTCCAAATCTGCGACCGGGCACTACGGCTCCGTCATCGAACTGGCAGGCTTTGTGAGTAGAGAGGAGGCTATGGCTGTGTGCGTAACTGATGAGCGCATGCTGACAACAAGCTTTCACAGTTCTTTTGCAACGTGCATTCTGCACCATCAAGAATGTCGATCTTAGCAGCCTATTAATGTCAGTTCGTTCTGAGCATGCAATCTAAACTTTCCATCAAATATGGTGTCAGTGAATAATACCCTCTATTCAATAAAGAGTTTTCACTGGTGCGCGACTGCTCATTGCATGCTAACGGCGAGCTTCCACAGTTCTTTTGCAGCGTGCATTCCACACCATCAAGTTTGCCGGTCTTATCAGCCTATAATCTGAGCTCGTTCTGAGCATCCGCTCTGAACAGCGCACTCGCAGATGGCGGCCACTGAATACCTCTCATAGATTTATTTCAAACCTCTAAGAGCCTCATCGCGGCGTAATGCCACGTTGCTTTGTGGGAACCAGTCGGAAGCAAAATCCCTATGCTCCGCCAATGGCCAACAGGTTCCCAGAATGCAACGCGCGCGGTGACGGATTTATTGAGTAGTCGAGTGTGTATTTGTTTTCCATACAAGCATTAGAAGATCTGCTTGGTCAAAAACTCCATGCTAATTGCGCGTGGTTACAACAGCCACTTTATCGCTTCTCGCGGCGTTAGGAACGACACCTTGTTCCTCTACAGCTTTTCAGGTTTTGTTGTTTCAATGGGGACACGCCACTTTGATCCTCGAAAAGCATGAGCCGGTCAGACAATCAAGCCGTCAGTTATGTAAGGTGCAATGATGCTGTTTTAAGAGCCACTCCGAGTGTGCGCTAGCCTGGCGCCGCCAGGTCATATATAGCTGAAGATCGACACAGCTCGCGTAAGAATCGACACCATTCTATTCCCACCCAATTCCGGGTAAGAAGCATTTAATTCCATTCCCATCCCATTCTTCCCAGGGCTGGCGCCATGCCATTCCCACTCCATTCAGGGGTCGCAAAAGTGCGGAATGATTCCGGAATCAATCCAACTCCGGAGTGGAAAATTTGCAACACTGTTTCACTGCCGCCCACTCAACTAGCATTAAGTCGCTCAGCCTTCCCACCCCATGCGAGCTTACCCGTTATAACGATCCAGTTCATGGCTCGTGTCTCCTCTTTTTGTCACCAGTTTCTCTTTGACCTTACTGAACGAGTAGCGATGAAGAAATTAATTCGTCAAAACAAAAGCAAATTTATGTTTTTTATCTTTTATTTTTTTTTGGCACTAATTTATTATGCATGCGGCGCGTGTTAGTGTCCCAGCTTCCCCAAAGAAGGTGCAGTGAGCTCCTTACTGAGCAACGGCAGTATACGAAAATTAAATACAAGATGACGCATCTCGTGCGATCGGCTTTACCCATACAAAAGTGTAGAAGGTAAGGCGGAAGCAAAACTACGACTTCACCTATGTGCTGCCAATAGCGGTTTAAGGCGATAGCATTTCGGGTCATTTGCACCTCTTCAGAAGTCCGTGGAGTTGAGCGCTGCCGATCTGCTTCAGCGCGGCGCCGTTTTCGCGTGAATTAGTTGACGCTACAATTCTTCCCAAATTGAATCGGTATAACGTTACACGCCAATCGAGGGTTTCCCGCTATATCTAGCCGGGAAGAGTTTCCTCGTTAAATTTAGCGGTGAAATTGACTTGTATAACTATACACACATTCAGGTATTCTCGCTAAAATTAGAGATCGAGCAGCAACGAACGGACGCAAAGAATTTTATGGTCTGGTGGCCCAATACATGATGACGTTACCGCAGTTAAATAAAAGAAGGAAACGAAAGTAAGAAATATACTGAAAACTGCTTCCTGGCCGATCTCCTCCTTCGGTATGCGTCGGTATACCGCCAGAACGACAAGAACGGTTTTGGTGTGAAGGCCACTGAGGTGAAGAGGCCACAATATTTTATTACGTCACTGCCTGATGAGTGCAATGCAGTTAGCGCAAACACGACAACAGTGTTTTTTCTTACTTTTTATCCGACACGGTAATGACCAACTTTTACATCGCAAGTTGGATCCCCGAATGAGTCCTTTCCTAAACGCTAGAATATAATTTTTGATTACAGTCTTTCCTCCTTTCATTTTTAAGTGTAAAACAGGAAAAACTGGCGGTTGCTTTTTTGTGCTAATTGTATTTGTTTCGACACACTACGGGACATAGCTCCAACACTGCAACGGTACTTTAAAGAAATTTGCCCATAAATACACCGTCGAACACCAAATCTGGTTTTCTCAGATGGGCCGGCCCCCCACGACACAAATCGACACTGCAGGTTTATAATTTCAACGGAAATAGACGATTGCGAGTCCGGCTTACCTGTGCCGCTTTCTTCTGCGCAGGACACTAGAAGGTTAAAATCTCGGCCAGCTTCCCAAAAATTGCGAGCAGGCGATAAAGAATCAAGAAGTTTGCAAGGAGTAATGTTACTTCAAACTTTTATTTACAGCGATGCAAACAGCATTCATACATCTCGCGATACATGCGAAGCGTGCTGCTTTACGGTTGTAGAAACTCTGAAGCCAAACAATGGTAAAGAAATGTGGCGGCAGTAATTACGTCTTACGTCAAAAAAAAAAAAAAAAAGAAGAAATTGCCACGTTTGTTGGACGGAGTCGACGCCATAGTGTCTTCTTTGCTTCGAAACGTAAAACACGCACACATTTCGATGGTCACAGAAGGCATCATGACCTTTTGATTTAACTAAAAACGTCTCTTCGTCAAAAAAAAAAAAAAAAAGAAAGCGAGATAGAAAATTGTTGACAAAGCATCAACTATACGTTCTCAGCCGCCTGTACTAAAGACGTTGCCAAGGAGAGAGTACGGCGCTGCGGAGATGTGTTCGGTTGCGAATACCCACGTGCGGGGCGTGACTTCGGGTTTTCTGCGTAATCGTGAAACATTACGACTAAGCCACTCCTTTCATATTTTGCTTATGATCCAAAGTTACTGTAAACGGTGCAGCAGTTTAAACATCGTAGAAGAGTGTCGAACGAGGCAACGTTCTGTTACTCGAAGAAAATGCAAAGTCTGCAAGCGACAGCTTACACGGCGGTCTCGATAAGGATTTGTTACATAGCGTTGAGTATCGGATCGTTACGCTGCTAACCCGGCCCGAACGAAGTTAAGCAGATTGCGATCATAAGTGTGCATAGCCACCAGGAAACGCAATTGCGCTGTTTTGGCACGGAACGATGGTTTTTAGAGCACCCGGGACAAGGAAAAACAGAAAGCTTCGTTCGCCAGTTTGGCACAAAAAAACGCCCCGAAGGGTGCAAAAGCGGGTCTGGTTCAATATTTTTCCCGTGGCCAGCGGGGCAAAAAACAACTTTCCACTTGGAAGCGAGGCGTTTTCACCTGAGCTAAAAATGCGACCGGAGGAAGTTGTATAAACAACGCGACAGTGTGAGAGCTAGCTGCTCGAGTCGGCGGCGGTATACGATAGTCTCGCTCTTTACAATCAAGACAAAAAAAAAAAAAAAAAGGAAAGAAAAAGGAGGGAGGGGTGCTGTACAAAATTGCTTGCGTCGAATCGAGCATCTCAGCCGATTAGATCGTATGATAGCTGCGAATACGCCGCTTGAATTTGTTGCCAGTTGTGGTTACACAGTTGCTAAGACCTCCGAATTATAACGGAACTGCCTCCTTTTTCTGTAACGTGCTTACAAGGCATCGCTTGCATTTCCTTAGGCTTGCCGGTTCGTTGTAAGTAGGGATTAGTTAATTCCTTCGTTGTAAGGGGTCGTTTAATTGCAACGTGCGTGCCTACGTGCATTCTGCGGTGTTCGAGATGGTGCTAGATAATCCAAAATCACACTATCTGACAAACAAAAAAAAAGAAGTCTAAGCTAAAATGCAATTTTTAACGCAACCTTTAGATGCTGCCTGTACAAGTTTATAAGACGTATAACCGCGCTTGTCTTTAGTTATCATTAGTTAATTTTGGCAGTGCTTCTCGATGCTTCGCTGCCAACGAATAACGCCTCCAGTCGGGCGTACCATGGAGACAAAGAGAAGCGCAAATAGGGAAGGCGGTTTTCATCCCCGACCAACCCATATGTGTGTAAATATATGTGATCAGGGCAAGAAGGCACTTCGTTCATCGGCCGTGGTAACGTTAGGGCTACTCAAACAGGTTTAGAGCGGCGTTATGGTTGCCTCTAGGGCTCTTTGTCCAACTGAAGAGAAGCAAACTGGAGCAATGTCTTGTTATCTAGAGTTACACGGCCTCGGGTCATCATGACGCTTGAGCTGGCAATTAAGGATGGTCAATTTAATGGACGGGTGCGCTGGTGGTTCCATCGATTTTCCCGAAGGGCAGGTTTGCGACGTTAGCTTTCGTCTACGTGCCGGCCTCGTACCCCTCGGTGTTACGTGGGATCCTCATAACCTGAATGAGAGGCAGAAGCAGTGTCATTCGCCGCAGCGTGCACTTCCTTGCCTTGGACTCGGAAAAGACGAGTGAAGTGCATTCACCCACGTCTACCAGTGCGAGTCCATCGCTTTGGGCCTTTCGGGAACCGGAGAAAGATGTTCGAACGCATTTCAAAGTTTTTCGGTGTTCCGAAGGTACTGCCGCTTTTGTTAGTGTAGAAATATAGAGATGCACGTTGGACAGAAAACCATCCCGATAGGCGGCGCGTGGATGCCATCTGACTTCGTCGCATGCTCGTAATAATAACAACAATAATAATAATGATGAAAAGAAGAGTAAAGATGTCAACAACTTCGTCACGTAAAAAAGCGGAGGGATAACTGCATCACCGGACGAAAAAAAAAAGCGGGTGTTGTCGTCTGTGACATTCGTTCAGGATTGACATTCCCATCAACGTAAGGGCCCTATTCACCGTGCAGGACGTGATTTCAATCGAGACAGCTCACACCCATTTCGACGAAGCTCGTATGCCTCATTGGGGCAACCTTATTATGCTAAATTCTCGAGCACAATCTTTTTGCTTCGATGATCATGAGTTTGAGATGCCGACTACACCGGCACCGGCTGAGGCGATGTCGACACGAAACCACTGTCGTCAGCACTTCCCTTGTTGGCGGAGTCTGCGAAGAAAGCCGCCTTTGCTTCGGCCAGCTTGGCCCTGATAGGTGTATAGGTCACGGTGCCGTCTGAGCCCCGAACCACCTTGGGTGGTTTTGGTGCCTTGACGATCTGCTTACCGGTAACAGCTCTTCCAGTGTCTTCGGGGGAGACTGTCTTGGGAAGCGCGTGGGAGAGAGACGTTGTGATGTTAGTCACAGTCCTCGAGCTTCCCACTTCTGTGACGACTTCCATATTTACGTCCACTGTGCTCTTAAGGTTGCCCAACTTCCCAGTTGACTCCACGGTGGACTGCACCGATTTCTCTTCGACGATCTTCTTGATGGACCCAGTTGGGGCGGGCAGCGTCGATGAGTTCCTCTGCGCCTCTATTTTTTCCTCCAGAATGAGGTTTGTGGCGATTTTTTTGGCCGCGTCCACGTTGTCTTCGCCTCTCACATTCCCATTGGTCTGCTTGATCGAGACAGTCGTCGTGTTCGTCGAAGGCTGTAGGTTCTTGAGAGTCTGCAGCGACGGCTTCGCCTTTTCAAGGTCCGCGGCCGAATTGAGGTTCTGGATGTTCTTTAGCGTCACCGTGTCCGTGGTGGTAAACGTGGTGGTTCGTTTCGGTTCGACCGGCGGCGGAGGCTTACTGATGACCATCGGACCACACTGCAAGTTCTTGATGCTCGAGATCGCGTGTGGTCGCTCGTCCGCCTTCTGGATATTCTTTAGGTCTTCGGCGCTTATATGAGACCCTCTGGCCGAAGGGAACGTCGTCTGCTGCAGGTTTTTCATCGAAAACGTTGTCGAGTGTCGCGGCGCGTCCAATTTTCCCGTAGACGCGACGTTGTCGATGTCCAGCGTGGTTCCCGCAATGCTGCTCCTCCGTCCTTCGTAGACGTGCAGGGGTGGCGGCGGCGGCCTGAACCTATTGTTGTACTCCGTGACGCCCCTGTGCGTCGGCTCGTTCTCGTCCTTGGGCCGCTCCAGCGCGTTGTTGGTGAAGTTCGGGAGTCTGTAGCGCTGTTCTTCGTGTCTGAGGCCGCCGTTGTTGAGCCTCTCAACCGGCAAGGGCGGCAGGGCACGCTGGTGTCGGTAGGCTCTTCTGGACGCCGGTGGGGTGCGGACCTCTGCCGTCGATGGGAGGCGACGGAAGGTGGGCGTCGACCCGGTCAGCGTGTGTCGGGACCCATTTCGGCGAGCCGGGGACGCGCTGCGGTGTCGGTACAGGGTCGCCGAGGAGTCTGGGTCTTCCGCGCTGATGGTGGCCTTGCGCGGAGTCCGGTAGCCTCTGGAACTCCTGGAGCGCCGGTCGGAGCGGTCCAGGCTCGCGTCCGGCGTGTCCCCGTTGCTCGAGTGGCGGATGCGGTTGGCACTGGAGGACCTCGGCTGCATAGAAAAGAACAAGGCAGGTTCTTTGTCAAACAAAGCGAAAAGCCATCTTCAGTGGTGTATTCAGAAGAGGATACGTTTACACAACATATCAGGCGTTTACAGTGGAGACCTTCGCGATATACATGGCATGCACGCGACGCCATCGAAGCATCCTGGTTGTAATCCTTACTTGTTCTTGCCAAGAGAAACAGATTCGGTGGTGCAAAACATGTTCAGCAGAAGGTGCCCGCTCAGCAGCAAGGCCACTACAATGGCAGCTGGAACTCTTCGCAAGGTATTCATATACTACGTTTGCAGGTGTGGCTCTTGAGCAGCTTCATTTTGCTGCCGGCGTGTTTACGTTCCCGAAGGCGGCTAGGCTACACTGTTAGCAAGTCCCGTGTATTTGGCGAGTATTTGGGGTGAAAAACACGCTATTTACACAAATTACCATAATTTTACACGATCAGTAACGGATAATTCGTTCAGAAATCATGCGAGGTTGTAAAAGACGTGTTTTGGTTCGGTCATACACGCATAACCGTGTAGCCGACCTCGATAACACGCATCGCACCCGGCGACGACCGCGGCATTGCCGGCTGTCGAAGCACCGGAATGCTTGGGGACACAGCTAGAAAGGACCGTCGAGACAAATGCCGCGGAAAGAAACATGTCTCGGAGACAAATATGCACCAAAAGCAATTGCGCCATGTCGCAGGACGTTGGCGTAACCCGCGCTTCTTACCGTGCTCGCCGCCATTTTCTGGTCGATGGCAATGCGGCTTCGCTCATGTCGCCTATGTTTGTATTTAAAAACGAGGTATTTAGCTTACTGGTCTTGATAATAGTTTCTTACACACCACAAATAAAGTCATGGGTCTAATTATTCGTTCCAAACAGTTAAAATGAATATAAAAAGCGTGTCCTCGATGTGAACACGTGACATTGCACTTGGTTTCGTTTTTGCTTCAACTGCAAGCGATCTGGCCACGGCGCAAGCGCAACGCCGATGCACGCTGGAAGCAAGAGCCGGTTGGCTTTCGTTGTTTTTGTTAGACCGGAGAAAATCTGGCAAGTATGGCAAGTACGCATGGCGCCGCTATTGTTTTAGTTTGACGGGACGCGAGAAGCTTCGCATAGAGCTTTGCAGTTTGCGAGCACATAGTGAAGACGTGACCGGAGAAGTGCCCCTGTGATGTTCCCGGAAGACGGAAAGTACCATTCGTAATCATCGTGTGTGCTTTGAAAGCGAAGGGAGTCACAGGGTCCACGATTGCGCAATCACAAGCCAAGGTTCACGACAGCGCGGCGTTGACTTCGGCGATCTCGTTCTGGTTTGGTGCAACAGGGCGATGCGAAAAAGAGCTGAAACGTTCGTCGTGTGTGGTGCGGTGTTTTGTACTCCGGGTCTGTTTGAACCGCGCTTTTAACACGGAGCGCAAATTGTTTGTTGCGGGGTGGAGGTTCAACGGGTACAGTCCCGTCGTCGTCAGCTGGTCCGGTCCAGCTGGTCCGGGAGGACGCAGCGAGCGGTTTTAAAAGTAAATCTTCCTTCGTTCCGTTTCAAACTGTGAAGATATCCCGACACAGACCGTGAGTAAGAAGCAGCGGGCGTTTTCAACAAAATTGCGTCGTTTTAATTGAATGATGGACTCCGGATTGTTGTCTTAAATCTGCCGTTTTTATGCTTCGTGTTGGACTGCGTTTGCACAGCGACGTACACCGCTCGAGTAGATGATTCGGTCCTGCAACGAGTTTGTTGCGCCAATCATGCGGCGTGAATAAATTAGGGCAAGGTTTCCTACCTGCCCACAGATGCATGTACTGAGACCATTTTTTACGTAGTGAACGTAGTGCTTTTTCTTTCTTTTGGGAAGAGGCGTTGGTGCATTTATTATGGTACAATCACTTGAGAGTTGAGAAATTGGAGAGCGAGCAAGCTTTCCCAACTTTGTCTCTTTCTCTCTTTTACTGCCCTGTTTCAGTTTCAGTAGGCATATCTACTAGCAGGTACAAACTGCTCTAAAGCAGTTAAAAAACGGGAAGCTTAGGACGGTGCGGACTCCGTGTTTCGCGCTTTTCCCAAGGTGACGGGGTAAATGCTTTTGTGAGGTATGCCGAATATGTAAGCGATTTTGTTATGCCCGTCGTTTGCGTCTCTCCAGCAAAACGAATAAAAGGATCTACTACAAAGGCGCAATCACAAGCCAAGATTTACGATAGCAGTGCGTTTGCTTCGGTGATCCCTGTAGCTGTATTTTATCCTGCTCTCTGCAACACCGTGTCATGACGAAGAGCTGGAACGGTAACGGTTTGTGCTGGCCTCCCGGTTGACAGAAACCCGCGTCGCCCGCATCGGCACCGAGTGCGCTTGGGCTGTCGATGCTCAAGCCTTTCATCCGCGGCTTGTCGCCAGCTCATCCTACTGCTCAACGGTGAGGAAGGGCGAGAGTACCCTCGGAAGTGAATGTAAATCCTCGTTCATTCAGTTATCCGGTGTCAAAGTGTGGAAGATGTCCAACGTGTACTGAGGGCGGGAACTGCGAGCGTTTTGCCTTGCTTTTATAACCGAAACCACACCAACGAGATAACTGCCTTACGTACTCCAAAATGACGGAAGCAATAAGTTTCAACAGGTCGAGTACGTCACCGGGGATGTAGGCGAGACGGCGCACAATGTTTAAACACTTGCAGTATCCACGAGTGGTACCAGGAAAGCGACGTCAACAGAGAAGGAGCTCGCGATTCAGCATAATGCAGTGCTACGGGCCCGTGTATCTTCAAAGTTCGGGGTGGTTTCAGTATGAAAAAGAAGACGCATCAGCGCCTCACACTAGTGTTTACGAATAACACCGGTCACAAACTCCCGAGCCCCACCGCTTCACTCGACACCGACACAACATACGACAACAAACTGCATCAAAACGCCCCTAAAGTGAAGGCGTCTGCTCCCGTACTGCAACTAGCGGAAGTGAAGTGTTGGGCGGATGTCCTTCACAAAAATATATAAAAAAATGCTTTGCGGACGGATCATTTTCATTTATTATTGTATACATAATGACAAAATCCCAATAATTTGTTTTCCTATCTGATTCAAGCTAGTCGGAATGCTCATAACACTGGTCAAGCAAGAAAATAACAAAAATTTGAACTTTTTCATGACCGGTTTAAGATTTATTGTTAACGTATCGTTATTTATTGCAACGGACTAACATTATAGATTTTGCCTCCATAATTCTTAAATGCAAACAGTTCTAACACACGGCTGTCCATTGCGCCGTGTTTTGTGTATTCTTCTATAAATCTGTAATGGTCAGCGACCAAAGAGCTCACCCGCACATGTCAAGCTTATATGCGCCGCGGGGAGAAATGAATACTGAGTAGGAAGTGTCGGGCGTAGTGTCGTTGTTGTGTTTGTGTACATGTCGGTGCTGTGTAGGATGTGGTACTGGTTTGCCTGCGTTGTATGTAGGGTTGTTCTCTAGTCGTGTTCGTTCGCAGTGTTAACAGACTCGTCTTTTTTGTAAATACAGGCTGCTAGAAATCTCGATAGGTGGCGCAAGTTACCGCCCGATTTTAAATAGTTTGCTCAAGTTATTTATCCATGTGAGTTCGGCATTCGTTTTTTTGTCCAGCGGCTCGTTGAAGCTACCGACGCCGCCGACCGCCGACGACGCACGTACAGTACGTACCTTTGCACGTAGGTACGTCCGCCGCTTGGAGACTTTACTGTGTATAAAAGACATCGAACGAGAACTAACGAGCCCTGTGTGCTTTCAAATCGGGTGAAAGGCGCGCGGCTCGCTGGGCTCGTCTCTCGCCTGTTCTCGGCCGCTGGCCGCCATGTTTCATAAGGAACACGCTCGAAACGTGTTTTGCTGAAGGCAGACACGGTGTAGCGTGTGAAGTTTACACAGCACCTCATGTGTAGACGAAAAACACAGATAGCTGCGTGTAAAACGAACACGTTTTGACGTGTCCGCTATGGGACAACGGTTTACACGTCTGGGCGTGTTATTTTTGCTAACAGTGTAGTTTTTAAAGCGCGGTTGTATGCAAACACGTGTAGTTGCCGGAGACGGAACCGGGGCACACACAATCAATCCAACCGACGTAAGAGATGCTCTAGTTCGCTGTATGCGTCACACAAACATAGCGCACCACCCATGCCTTTACAGTGGCCGTCCTTCTCTTGAAGATCACTGGAATGCCGTTGCTCATCATCACAAACCTATTGGATTGCCTGTTTGAAGGTTCGGGTAAACACTAGAAAATAATTCTCACAGATATTTCTGAAATGTTTAACCAGACGGGTGTAAAGTAACGAAGCCGGCGAAAGCGGAAAAATTGCCGGACGGTCATATAAATAGTTGGGCCCATTGTTTATTCGTAACTCCTGTCTCTTTTTGATTGACTGAGGCTTAATATTCCTGATAAATATGAGAAATTGGACGGGCTCTGTTATGCCTTACAAATATAAAAAGAAATCTTTCGTAATAACGATAATAATCCATAAAAAATAAATCGTAACTATTTTTTTTTAGATGGATTACTTGTTAACACGAGGATATACCTTTGCGTTTCCGCAACACCAGTACCGTTTCTACCGTGTTAGAACTTGGCCGTTTTGATCCTAATCCCCAATTCACTATTGCGGTATGTTCGCGAACCAGTTCTGGTATGGTGTAACAGAAACGCTACGCTTAAACTCTCCATTGGCTCTGTACCGGTAATTGAAAGGAAATCCATAAGAGTTTCGCTGTATTAAGAACCACACTACCGTGGGCGTATGGAGGGCCGAGCCCGGCCGAGAAATGGGTGAGGAATGATACAACTGGAGATGCCTGCGCGAAAGTATACGGAACCGTCAGGTAGGTTCGCTTTCGTTTTTAGTAGAACATCTCAATCGCTTGAGTTTGAATGCGTAACAAATGCCACACATCTTAAGATATCGTGATTGCATATTCTCGCGCCACAGAAAAGCGTTGTCAAGTTCTAACAACAGCGTGAGAAAT